TCGATCGTAAAGCTGTCCATCTGTAAAAATACGATAAACTTTTTGGCCTTTGCGCGTGTGTCGCGACGAACCGATCGAGAAACCCGTACGATTTCGGGTTCAAATACTCCGACCATGTAACTTTTGAAAAGAGCATCTGTGAGTAAATATCGGTTGATTTTGAAATTCACGATCGTATCGCTTTGCCGGCCAAAAGTAGCACGTAAGCATAACAGGTGTAAATCGCGCGTGAAATCCAACTCGATAAACACGCAAGACGTAAAGTATAAAAGAAATGGGACGTAAAGTTTAATAACGTAAAGTTTAACGTCGCAATAAAGTCACGGTTATTGTTGTAGCAACACGTTTAAGATTACATTATTAACTATGACATGAAGTACTGGCGAAAGACATGCTCAAATATCGAGAAACATAATCAATGAATTGCGCAACAGTGCGAAAAGGATTCAGCATTATTAATTAGCATGACGTACAGAATGTGTGATACTGCTGCAAATTGATATGCGCCACCGATTATAGGTTTATCAAAGTGGATAAGCGAAAATCAATTACTCCTACGTAAATGACATCATAAAAAAAATTGGCTCGGAAATAAACTGTTATATTTATCGCCAAAGGCCACTTGCAGTAGCAGTGAAAAATTATTTTGATTTAAAAGTTCAGTAAGTAGTAAATTGTATTTATGGCTTCACATAGGCGGTACCGTAATCCAATCACGTTAACGTAAACCGGAAATTCGAAAAAAAAAACTTTGCGCAGCGAAGAGAATGGCAAAGTATGAAAAAATCCGAAGAAAGGAGGAAGTACTCGGCGGGAGTGAAAGGCGGGATTGGACCGTTTAAGTGCGAAGATTACCATGCCCAGTCGATTGACGAGCACGTCACGTTCCGAATTAACCGCCGTTGCATAGTGCCGAGGACGACGAACGAAAAAAAAAAAAAAAAAAGAAGATTACAATGAATCACGATACCAGACGTCGTTACGTCGCATTGACAAGAAAAAACATTTCATCGTAACTCGAAAGGCGGAAACTAGGCGGATCGATTAAGTGAAAGGCATCTGCAGAGCGATAATACGAATCCAACATATGTTGTGTATATAACGTTACGACAACTCGTGCGCGATATCTTCGACCGGAAATTCGGGTGAGAAGCAGGGTCAAAAAAAACAAAAAAAAAAACGCCGAGAATGTATCATAATGCAATTCCCGCGAGGAGATTCGCGAAGAAAGGAGGAAGTGGCTTGGGTGAGTGAAAGGCCGGGATCAGGAAAATTCAACAGGCGAGAGATTATAACACGAAGCTCTCTCGGCGCAACACATGCAGCGTGACACGTTGCTATCTCGTGTCGCTCTTTAATAGGAATCGTAATACAGTGTGGCCGGAATGAAGCTGGTTCCGGACGATGCGCTCGCTCGCCAAATACTCACCGAGTCGAAACAAATATGATGCAACGTCGGTGTGACAATATAATAAAAGACGACGCGGAATGTTTGCATTCGTTCAATATTTAGCAGGATAAATACACTGTTTGAAGTTGACTCAAGATAGAATGCATATTTAAGTGGAAGTATTTCAATAATTTGCACCAGTCATCAGAAACTAATTTATTTGTCATATATCAGCAGTGTTTGTAATGACTTGTTTTTTTAACAAATTATATATATGCTGATAACGCAAACTACTATAGAAATCATTTAATAATTTTAAAAACATGTATTGCTCTCTTCTTATAAAGTGTATTAAATTTCTCTAAAAAAAAATCAATCCTCGATAAAAATCTATTAAAATATTATCTGATAATAAATCGTTATGTAAAATTAATTAATTTTTAATACGTAAATTATGCGATATAAACATTTCATCTATAGCTCTATTTGTGGAATTTAACTTCCGCATATATTAATTATTTAATTGAAATATTAACTATGATTTTCAAGCAGTTGTTGCAGTGTACGAGCAACTGTTATATACAAGTGAGTTCTCTGACGATGCTGCACTTACGAGACAACCACATTGCATATATCTCTAATATCGCACATACCACCGAATAAACGTACTTTGCTTGAATTAAACGAGCTTTCGTTCTTGCGCGAAACAACCTGTTGACTACGTAATCAACGATGTGACGCTTCGCCGGCGTATTTGTTATTTGCACACGCGCCATCGCATTAAGGTCTTGACAAATCTGTTTAAGATTCTTCCGACACCTCCCGCAAACAGGTGACATAAATCGACACAATGTTATCTATCTCCGTGCAAACAATGTTAAAACGATTAAGAAAAGATCGCAATGAGAAAATGACGAGCGAATGCGCGTAAAAAAAAACTATCTGGCGCGTGAAGTATTTCACTCGCACTATTCCATTGGCATTTACAAATATCGAATAAAAATACAGAGAAAAAATTTTATCTCTGCAACTGACAAGTTTATTTTCAGTTTGACATTTTCATCGCGTTATCAGTAGTTCCAATGTTTAAACACGAGTATTTTGGGTATTGCCTGCACGTGTCCTATTATATTTTAGGTATTTCCTGTGTACATGATTGTCTCAGAATAGTACACGATATATCGAATGACGATGATAAATCGCTCTCGCACGTAATGCGTTCTCATTCGATCGCTCGCAACGTGTCGCCATACTGTTCGCTGCAATTGGAGTGCGAAGCGAAAAACGATCGTCGATTTCGCGAGCTCGTAAATCGTCATTCGCGCCAACGCAACGTCGGCCGTATCGTTTTTCCCCCTGGAGTGGTGTATTGCAAACGGAAATGTGGCACAATGTAATTTAATCCGTGCTAATGCTAAGTTTGCGAGATGCAACTTGTTTGCCAGCTTGTCATTAATCATAATTTTATCTAGACGATTAGCTATTAGTCATAAAATCTTCCGTATGTGTAAAAATATACTCGTATATTCAATCTGCAGAACTTTGCGTTTTATTCATTTAAATCTCCTCGCAAAAAAAAAAGTTTTCCAACTCTGTCAACAATTGAACCTGTTGAGTGTTACATAAAAAAGTTGTAGTATTAAAAATTAAACATCAGTAAGTATTGGCATACATAATTTCGATCTGCGGTTTTCTCTTCAATCTGAATTTAAATCGTCGCGTGATAAAAGGCTTTGATGAATTTATAGTCTCCATTGAGTTATATGCAAGACATATCGCAGAAATACATAAGTATTGAACACGATAATCTCGAAGCAATGTTTTCTTTGTATAAATTAATTGCGGACAATTAAACGAATGCGTCCAATTCGCTGTGCGTAAACACGATATATAACCTCTCGTGCTGCAGCGTAATAATTATTTCACCATATTATGGAATATCCTCGTTAAAGACACGGTAAACAAGTCGGCACAGCGTTAATACCACCGCCTGTGCGCGATCGCACGTAACGAATGAATTAACGTACGTAAATTACGACGCTTGCCGGCGCGGCGACCCGCCGATTCGCATTGCAACTTGCAAGATATGTCCCGCGACCTTGACTAATCTATTCCCGCGAAACAGTCGATTCCACGGAATATCACATGCACATAATGACATAATCGCGCGCTCGTTTTAATCCGATTTCCTTCCTTCACATCGCAACGTCGCATCTTGTCAACGCAAGCTTAGACGATCGAATTGTACATTATTAACTTTACCTTTCCGGAGAGTTCATATAAAAAAAATATTTTATGGACTATTCGTTGATAATCACTGACCAGCATTTTATTTATCTTATGTATTATAACTTTTTTTTTAATTTAATGTGATAAAGTGTGTTTTCTATGCATTAAATATTTATTAGCTCGTAACTAGTTGAATGTAAAACTAGCTAAGTACCACTCCATTGAAATAAAAATTCTCGTTATTGCTTCAACATTTTAAATTTCAATATCATCTAAATATGACATTAATATATATATTTCTTGACGCATTTGTATATTTCGTAAGAATTTGATACATTTGCTTGGAACATACATCATTCTAACTTTCTTTTTAAGGATCTGCAAGATTTAATCGGTTCCGCATTTGAGAGACATCATGAGCTAATTTGAATTGCAAAGTGAAAGTGAACTGTGTAAAGTGAACCACCATCCTATAATTATCCCACAAGAAGAAGGAAACGTTGATTTCGCACACAATGTCGGGTAGATGCACCAACAAATAATTGATAACTACCAGCGCGGATAGTCATTGAATCTATGCGCTGTGTACAAAATGTATAAAATCACAGAAAACATATTCTTCAAGAGAAAAGCACGACAATTATATCGTTAAATTTTTACATGGTCTAAAACTGTTATTTCGAAAATTTTCTCTATTTATCGATACTTCCATCAGTTTAAAAATTTTGTTTTGTTATTACCTCTTAATATATTTGCCGTTTGAAATTAGCATTATCCGAAAATTTGACTGTTGACTGACGCGTGAAAGGTAAATAGGTGACAGCAATGTCAACGTCATGTTTATTGCCATGAAAAGATTCGAATTCTTCCTCGACCGATCGTTCACCGGTGCACCGGTGCATTTACCCTGCGTGTTTTCCCGAAGGTGCATCGACACGTAGAACCCGACGCGAAAAGTTCCGCCTCGAACTCGGCGAAAGACAGGAAAGAGGATTCGCGAAAGGTCGCGCGCGTGCGCTTCGCGACGTTTCTAGAAAGAGCGCGATCGTTTACATACGGATGCGAATCGCGCAGAGTTTCTCGAACTCAAGACCAGGATTTGAATGTTATTGACGCCATTCGATCTCCTTCGATCGTTTACCTCGCGAAAAATTGTCGACAAACGAAATTTGATTCGATTAAAACGGTGAGCACTGCGAATTTCGCGTAAATTTTATTTCGACATACTAATGAAACGGACGTCGAGCGCGATAATAGACTTGTTTTCCAACGGATTCTTTAGATTTCTCCATCCTGTCGCCGAATCCGCGAGGAACGAGTACAAAGGGCTAACATATGGCGGACGAGGTGTAGATGGGATTTTTCGGAGTTTCGTACTTACGTCGTGTACGAGTCTTCTCCTCCTTGTTGTCGTCGGGGACACTAGGTCACGGCACGTTTCACTGATCTTCCGCCGAGAAATCGAAGTGTACTGTCCAATACGAGTATGGGTCAAATGTTACATGTATATCCGGTCCGAGAGTTTCGCCGTCGTGAACGTCTTGCCTATCTACTGCACGTACCCGTCGTTCCGGGGTACGCACTTACACGTAACCGCTTTGCTGTATATCGATGTACTGTATTGATCTCGATGATGGGGGCGGAGAATCGCCGAATAATGCGAGAAGTGCGCGTTACGTTTCCTGAACAATCGCACCCGCAATCGTACGTCACCAGTAGCCGATTTGCGCGTCACGAGAGAACAACCGCGAACTCTTCGCTTTCCGCGTGCGAATAAAGCCGCGAGGAATCGAGTCGCCCGTCCTCCGTTGACGGGCAAACCGCTTTCGAAGCCGGAAAAGGCTTCGCGCCACAAGCCGGTGTTTCCTCCCTCGGCTGTTCCGTCAGCAGGAATGTTCACGTGCCGGCCGTTCCGTTATTGCCGAAGGAAATCGTGAGAAGTATTGTTTTCGGTTTCGGTTTTCACGACGTGGACAAGATGCGCGCGGAAAAACGTAACGTTGGTTGACCAGAGCGACGGAGTCAGTTTACACGTCAACGACACTACAAGTCGCCGCGGCGAACCAACTGACACTGACAGCAGCCCGCACGACTCGACCGCGCACGCACCTCGCGGCTCCCACCATGTCGCGATAGCGAGTTCTCCCTTCCTCGAAACGATTCCCACTCCTTCCAATCGGCCGCGCCGCTGCCGCCGTTGTCGTCGTCGTGATGCCCTCGTCGCCATCCCCGCGCGTAACGACGCCACCGCGCGCGCCCACACACGCTCGCGAGTTGCAATGCGAGCGACTCGATCCGATCTCGGAGTTCGTCGTCGTATATGCGACACGACGCGCGCAAGAGACTCGGAACGGAGGCACGAAGCGCGCAGCCAGCCGGCAAATGATAAATCGTCTCTCGTAGCGGAGTTCTACGCTTCGCTCCGCTGCCCTGGCGTCGGCCGTTGCCGCGCGCACTTTATCCTTCCTCGGTTTTCCTTCTCTTACGCGCGTCTGCGGCGCTACAACGGCGTGTATGAACGCCCGGATTTTATTTCTTTCGCGCCGCCGAGCTCTTTGGAGCCGCCAGGACTCTCCGCCGCCGCTCGTGGGATCGCGGGGATAGAGTTCGAAAGAGAGAGTAGGCTACGACGCGCGAGTAGAAGCGACCGACGTGTTGCGCGATCGATCGCTACGCTGAGACTTCCGCGATTTTCCGATGTTAGCATTGTACATCTTCCTTTCTTTGCTCAACTCTTCAGCTGTCATAATCTTACCCGCCTAATGACTCGAAAGTATTTTAGATTTCTAAAACTTTATCTTGATGCATACAAGTAAATAACTTTTCCTCAACGAAATTACTTTGCTTTGGTTAAATGCGTTTGAGAAAAGCCGGGATTGGTACAATATACGTATCTTATACACAATTTCTTCTTGAAAATATTGCATCAGTGTAATAACAATTATTCGCGTATTTTTAGAAGCCTGATAAAATATTGTTAAAGTATTCCAACACCTCATAATCCCAAACTATGCCAAAATGATAAATTTTACAAATTTCTCAGAGTTGAATTATTTCCAACATATTTTTGTAAAGCTGGATCAAACTGGATTATGGCAGTATTACTGTATTGCGATTACTGTGAGATGCGGAGTGTGCAATATGCACTGCGAGACAATGTTGCGACGTTCCTATGCCAGCAACTCTTACGTAATGATCAGATCAATTACTTCTGTCTATAAGTATGACAATTTCGACTCGTTACGCGGTCTTGTTTGCGCTTTTTATCTTCGAATCGTTGCAATTCTCGAATAGTATTGTTTCTTCTCGATTCTATATATTACGGCAGTCCCGCGTTCGGAAGTGCTTCGCCGTTTCTAACAGCTTCTAGAAACGGCGAACTATAGATATCGATGTCAGATAAGAGCTTATAGCCATCTGTTTCTTGCAATCTATAGGCTAAATACGTCCTTCCGCGCTCCAAGAGCTCTCGTCCTACTTTATATATACTATCGTATTTTCCAGATTTCCATCGCGCGTACTGTCATTCATGTAGGTTTTTAATCATGACGTCTCGTCAAAATCAAAGCTATAAAAAGATAATGAATATTGAAGCACTTAATAACGATTAATTTGACAGAATTAATATGAAAACGTTAATATTAATCTCATAAAACTCGAATTTCAATTTTATATAAAACTGAAATAAATTTCTTAAAATTTCGTAAGAGTCCGTCTACAAAAGATAATAACGCCATTGACAAACGTTTATTCGGATAATACTCGGATATTTAAATATTATCTGCGTAATAATCATGGATTTGGGTAAAACGGATGAATTAGAAATTCTTTGTTTCAATATCGCAAGGAAAGTCCGCGATGAGCTTAATAATGAGATATGATAAACGGTATGAATAAAATTTTAACTGAATTTAAATGCACACACTTTGATTGCAAGCATTTACTTTGATATTAAACTTAAGTTGGAAGTTTGATATTAAAGTTACAATGAACGTAGTGCGAATACAAAGGAGTTTATACTTTCATGATCAAAGTGTACACTTCTACATCTAAACTACAGGACTTTCGTCTATAGAAATTTCACGATAAAAATCAAAACAGCGCTTAAAACGAAAGGGTTCAATTATATATGCAAAATGCAATCTTTTTTATTTAATTGATCTATCGTTTTTAATATATATATAATTTTATTGTAAATAATGAAAGATTTATAATATTGAGATTAGATTAAATATACCGAGCGCATTCTCTCAAATATCAAAGTGACACCAAATATAGTCACTCAGATTATAATTTCGCACACGCGTTATTAATAGAAAATTGATTGCAAGTCAAAATTTTAGATTTCTCACATACGAGTTCATTTTTATTCACATCGACTCTGCTGTTCATGTCGGTCGACGAAAAACGAGATCTTGTCGTTGCGGGGGCCGAAGATCTACGATCGAGGAAAAAGGGTCCAGAGAACGGGAGAGAGAAACTAGAAGAGGAAAGGGATAGAGTATACGAGGATGGCGCAAGTAGGACACTAGACGGACCTACAGAAATGGATTGTGGTCACGCTATCGTGAAACATCGCGCAAGAGATATTAATTCAGCTTGTGCAGATGCTAACCTTCATTAATATATCGCAGTACGGCGCAAAACAATCCGCATACGTTAAACTAAATACTGTCACTTCGGAACTATCCACGGGAAAAACTCTTCGACAAGGGTTTCGAAGACATTTTTAGGTCAAACAGTTATTGCAGGTTATTGACTCGACATCAGATCGTTACTTTCACGTCATAGTGTTGGTCGTGCTTTTAAATCGAAGCGGCGGTTAATCTATTCTCGGACGCGCTATAGCGCGCCGATGTAACAATCCTGCCATTCATCGTTAGCCGAAGAATGTAAGGAAACGATGATAAATTTTTTAGATCGACCGCAGGTCGATCGCGTTCAGTGCGTTTTCCTATGAAAGAGACGTTTGTAAAAAAAAGATCACCGCGAATCTTCTTAATCACTCGCAATCGTGAACATATTCTCTAATTGTAAGAAGCGCGAATGATCGCGCGAATCACTAAAAATTTTCAGATATTTATATATCTTATCTAAGAAGCCATAAATTTCACCAATAAACAGAAGCCATAAACGTCAATTTAAAGATCATCTTAATACTTCTGTATTCAACTACAAGGAGTTTCATATTATGCATCAAAGCTCCAGGAGTTATATTTTTATACCTTAGAGCTACTTTATAAGATCGAATATCGAAATTTGTCATGGAAAACTTTCGTTGTAAAATTTTCTGAAATTTTCTCTTTCTGTATTATTCAAACAAAAAAGTTAATATCCTGATATTAAAGTAAACGGTATTTTTTATGTTAACCTTTTTGCGTCCTTATAACAGTGGTCGTGAATCGTATATATAACTGCGAATAGTGGAAGTCCGGATAAAATTAATTTCATTCGTAATACCTAACAGATATTATTATAATATAATCTACAGCCGCGGTAAATTCATTCTCTTATCCCGCTCAAGTTAAGTCGCGGCGCACGTATTCAATTTGTAATTTACACGATACCGGAGCACACAAGATAGGATTACACCTGGAGCGGTAACTTTGCACCGCAGTTAATAAAGCTTTCAGAACCAGATAATGTAATGTCCGCGAAAGTAGCTTCAGCTAAGCCATAAGTTTTAATTTCGGTATCCATACGGTACTTGTTGATACTAGACGAGTCCGCAATCCTTTTTTCTCTTTAAAACAAAGCTAGTGGTACTGCAATCGCTTTATCGTTTCACAGATAATATTATTTGCAAATACACACATATATCAAAATAAAGTGAAATGTACATTTAATTGTTCTTTCGAGTTTATTTTTCCCTCGAGCAAAATGGCAAATCTATTCGCTATGTTTTTAAAAATGTTTCAGGACATTTCTTTTTGCGACTTCGCGTATCTTCTAATTATTTTATGAAAAATTTCAGATAAAAGAGAACAATTTGAAAACAATTTATGCTAGTTTTTTTTATTAAAAATTGTACTAATTGTAAGACTTGACTGATCTCACCAGACTAATGCTATTAAAAATTTGCATTAAGGTTATTAAAGGGCTAAATATTAATTTTCATGAGAAATCACGATAGAGCAATAAAGAGATGTTTCCATCAGTTCTAAAACTCAATATGCAAATTCCGCAATACAATTCAAGCGATGATCGCGAAATTTATCAACGACGCTAATTCTAAAACCCGCGACGTGTACCGGGGCACGAACGCAGATCGAGAGACGACGAGATAGCGTCGTCGCGCTCGGACAGCGCGAGCGAAGTGAAGGTGTTGATGACGTAATGTGCACGGCAGCAACTACGATCCGCGTGGTGAAGTGGAGAGTTACTCGTGACTTGCGGTGTGCAGCTGAGAGAAAGAGAGAAGGAGAAAAACGCAGAAAAGAGGTGAGGAGTATGGCAGTGCGCACAAGCGCAACGGCATGCAACGCAGCGTTGCGCCGTCGCTACAGCGACCGTCAAGGACGTTCGCGCTCGGTTTGCCGCACCGAGAGAAAGAAAACGCTAGAGCGAGACGGAGCGAAGCGATGATAGAGCGGCGGAGAGAATGTGATAGAGAGGAAGGCGAGGTGAAAAGAGAGCCGCGAGGGAGAACGAGAAAGATAGGCATAAATACAGGGAGAAAGAGAGCGCATAAATACAAGGGAACGCGAACGCACTCGTTTCTTCTCGCGAGAGTTTCTTCTTTATCGCGCACCAGAAGGATCGACAAATTCGAGCCTCTCGATCCGGCCTCGAGCGGCCTTGAATACGTCGCCGACTCGACTCTTGTACGAAGCGAGATCAACAGGATTGTAAAGTTAGTTTTCCAAAATGCGAATTTTTATAAAACTTAAGCGGTATTTGTTTGTTGACCAATTTGTTCATACATAATTATTTTTGTCCACTTTGTAGAAAAAAGTTACATTATTAAGACAAAGAAATTATGTATGGACAAATATAATAAAATTGTGGACAATCAAATGCCGTATAAAAATTTGCATTTTAGAATGTCGACTTCACACATCTGAGATCGGCAAGATCAATTTTCAGAACATTTTTCGCTGCTGTGATTTGCATTCTCAGTATTTATTATTGGTCCTACACATAGGCTAATGTTTCATTGAAAATAGCATATAAAATTACTGCATTATTAAAAATCAATTTTTTTCAGCACAATAAAAAATATAATTTAAAAAAATAGAGCAAAAAGAGAGAATAAACACTTTTAAAA